TTTTTTTTACAGTTTCTAGCCATGCAGCCTTTCTCTCTGGTTTTATTACAGCTGTACCTTTTATAGTTTGCACAACAGATAGCAGAACATCAGAACATAATCTAAAATCGGTCTTTAAAGCATTAAAATAAATAAAATAAAAGTTAAAATCACTGAATTAAAAATGAAAATAAATAATAAAGAAAATGCTTTAACTGTCAGACTCTGTTCCATGTTTTGTGTGTGTCCTGCTCCCCATGTGCCTTCCCATGCTCTTATTTGGTTAGTTTCCTGTTCCTCCCCGATTAGTGTTTCATTGCTCCCAGGTGTGTCTCGTCATCCTCTCCTCCTGTGTGTATAAATAGTGTTCCCAGTCCCATGTTCTCTGCCCGCTGTTAAACGTCTTCCTGAGTTCGTCTCCCTTGGTTCCTGAAAATAAAGTCTTGGTAGAGTATTCTCCAGCGTCTCCTCGTGTGTGTGCCTCGTGACAAAATCTTTTTTTTTTTTTTAAATATCAACACCGTTGAAAACAGTATTAATTAATATTTTGTGGAAATTGTGATTTTCTTTTTTTTTTTTTTTATTATTATTTGAATAGAAGGTTCAAAAGAACATTTGTTTGAAATATAACTTTTTTGTAAAACATAAAAGCTTTCCAGTGTAAAAGTCTTTACTGTCACATTTATATACTGTCAGTGAACAAAAGTATTTTATCACTTACCCCAAACTTTTGAATGATATTGTATGGAAAACAACACTGCAAAATTTTATATAATTTGGAAAATCTACATGGCAAATTACATAATTTACATTTTTAGGTGAACCATCAATTTAAATATCATAATCATCTGAAAAAATGAGTGCATTAACAAAACATTGCTAAAACATCTACTGAGTGTTATTTTAACACCAAACAGGAACTATTTTATTAACATATTGCACAGTAGATGTTTAATGTATTGTCCAATAATGAACAATCTCACTGAACAGACATGTTGACAATGTACTGTACTGCATGTGTGTTATTAGGGACTATGTATAATAAAAATTATATTATTTTTTGCTTTTTCTATCTTTCTAAATTGATGGCCACATTAAAAGCTCATCTATGCAAACTGAAAATAAAAGGTAAACAGTAAGGTTTTAAAAATCCATGCTAGTCTGAAAGCAGCATACTCAGCTACAACATCCTAAACTGCTGAATAGTATTGTAGTTCACTGAAGCACATTAAGTTTTTTTTCATGAGACTGCAACACTGCCACAGGTTTAACACATCACTATGTTTATGTATTTAACTGAAGGAATTACACGTCTCACACACTTTCCTATGCCAAAATGTTCAAAATAGCTAATAACATGTAAACACCAACATTTCACGTTCATTCCCCTAAAGAACCCAAGCTAATATTAACATGTAAAGGCATTTCAATGCCTCCCACAGACTCCTTCCCCTGAGTCTACAGTCTGACTACACATGCACAAATGGATCAAGATAGATTTTTCCTCTGTTATTGTACCTGCATATACAACTTCAGGCTAAAACCCACACGATTCAGTTAGTGAATGCAGCTGTTGTGTTCTTTTAAATTCACACTTGAAGCTGAAGTGTGTAATTTCTGCGTCAGTAGCCTCAAAGTATGTAACTGCAAAAATAATGATTATTTACAAGTGAGAGTTTCGCCCCAAACACATGCTACTGGTTAAGTCAATGTTGCTCTATTAAACTAGTCAGGATGTTTAAAAAAATGCTTAGTTTTCACACTGCAAGGGAATCACCTTACAAATGGCTTACTTAAAGCATATTAAGTTAAATTTTTAACATCAAAAAATTAGAGGCCAAACATCACCTTGAAATTTAGAAGGCAAATATTATATTGCACAGACCACAGATGAACAACCCTCTCAGTGTAGACACTCTCAACCTCAAAATCATATTCATAAACATTAGAATGTGAACTACAGCTTGTGTGGCTGCACAGAACCGAGCAGGCACAGACTCAGTACAGTTGTTTGAAAAGCTGAGCACCCATTTTAGAGTAAAGGATCAAAAGTGGAGCAAATATCTACAATACAGACACTACAAACCCATGCGGTGAGAAGTGAATATATCCTATATAGACAGCCAAACACAGCCCTAGCATGAAAGATATACCTGCATAGGGATGCTAGAGAGCTGCACACTGTTAAACAGATGCACAAAAATAATTAGTACTTAATCATTTCGGCAGACTTTCAAGTGTTGTTTTCCATGCTAGACTGGTTAGCCATATCACAAAAATGTGTGTTGTTGTTCCACATGTCATTGTCAACACAGCTATAATTCAGCTGCAGGTAATCAGAGCTGTGTTAATATTCAGACCATTGTTTTAACAACACAGATCAATAGTCAGGAAGTTAACAATGTTACATTTTAGACACACAGAATGATGTTCCTGAATGAATCAGCATTTTTGAATGAATCACTTGAGCAAATGATATACTGACTTGCTCAAAGACTAAACAATTCAGCGTTTTTAAATGAACTAGTTGTGTGAATGATTCAATGACTCACTCAAAGACTGAATGGATTTTTGAACTAATCAGTTGAGTAAATTATTCACTGACTCGCTAAAACACTGAATGAAAATTTTTGAACAAAACTGTTGACTGAATGTTCAATAACTTAAACACAGTTGTCTAATTCCTGAATAAATCAACATTTTGAACACTATGGCTGATCGCTTGATGAAAAGGTTCATTTTTTAGGTCTCCACCTAATGGCGTAAAGCCGCAATCATTCTAGACTTTGCTCATGTGAAATGTTAAAGGGGTCATATGATGCTTTTTTAAAGATCATTATTTTGTGTATTTGGTGTAACAGAATATGTTGACATGCTTTAGTCTTTGCAACTTCAGGGATCTTATCTATTCACGAACAGCTTGTAACACTCCAAAAAGAAAGGAAGACTTGAAATCGCATCATATGACCCCTTTAATAGACACTGAAATTGTCACAATATGATGTCACTCTCTCCAGCAGCTTTAAAAAAAAAAAAAAAAAATAATAATTCTACATTATAATACATCTAAAATGTAGAAACATGTAATCTACTTCACTTTACTGTGATCCTCCAGTCCTACACATTTAGGCCCAATCCCAATTCTATTTTATACCCATTTCCCTTCCCCTCCCCCTCCGCCTACCCTGGTGTGCAATAGAGCCTTTAATTACTGTTCTATATTAATGCGCTGCTTACTGACACACACACACATATATCGGAGATCGCGCAGCTCACACATCCAGGAGCAAAGAAACTTGTCAACGCTGCCCCTCGACTTTTATTAATAACAGTTTAAATACTGAATCGCTACATTATATTTTCCAGCAACGAGAGGATAAAATCGCTGTTTTTTTAAAAGTAAACTCACTCTAAAAAGAGAAACGCACAGATGCGCATAAACGCAACTTTCATCTCTCTCTCTCTCGAATTGGCAATATTTGAGAAAAGGGTTTAGTGATTTCTAATTATTGGGGGGACTAGCCCCCCTCAATGTCTACGGTGGTTATCGCCCTGATCAGACATGAAAATATGTTGTGGCACTATTGTGCAGTCTGTAATGATATGACGTTAGCAAATATTAGCGATTTTTTGCAAACATTTCTTTGAGTAACATGACCGTAAATATGAACTCACGATTGAATGTAACATAAAACAAATGATTACTTTTCGTTAAAATCTTTATTAATGCCAAAAATGCTTACATTTATGTCTTTTTGTTCGCTCGGGCAGCCATGTTGCCCCTGAAGCCGGTTTACACTGAGATAATTCATACCCCTTCATTTGAAGTGTGGTCCTGAAAAATCTTCATTTGAAGGGCTGTCTGGCCCTTCCCCTACCCCTACCCCTCCAACCAAAAGAGAATTGGAACACCCCTACCCCTTCACGTGAACGCGCGAAACGGAGGGGTAGGGGAAAGGGCAAGGGCTAAGGGGTAGAATTGGGATTGAGCCTTAAAGTTTACATTCTTTTAATTCAGCTTAGAGGCCAAGCAGATCTTCTATTGGTAACATCTTGAATTTTGTATGTATATACAGTACATAAGCATTTGTCAGTTCATAGCCAGAATAAGGAGCAAAATGGATCAGGCATTGTGTGGATCAAATATCTGGCTATGAGAAGCTAATGCATCTTCATCCCACTGGTGCTTTGGGTTAAAGCATTCAGTTTGCAGAACTGACATGAAATATCCTCAACATGTGTACACACCTGCACACACACACAGCTGCTGATTGTTGATGATTAGAGGCCAAGCAGATCTTCTATTGGTAACATCTTGAATTTTGTATGTATATACAGTACATAAGCATTTGTCAGTTCATAGCCAGAATAAGGAGCAAAATGGATCAGGCATTGTGTGGATCAAATATCTGGCTATGAGAAGCTAATGCATCTTCATCCCACTGGTGCTTTGGGTTAAAGCATTCAGTTTGCAGAACTGACATGAAATATCCTCAACATGTGTACACACCTGCATACATGCACAGCTGCTGACTGTTGATGATCCAGCCAGCTCATAAAATCAGTGAATCACTGATCTCTAACAAGCCACTCGCTCCTCTCAATCCACTGCACCTGGTCAGCACAAGGTGTTTCTGCACAGACTCATCCCATCCACTGCGGCTGTTCCAGCACCAGCTGTGCGGTGCGGGTGATTTATAGCAGCATGATTCAGAGAGATTACACTGACAGAGCAGCAGCAAACACAACAAACCGTTCCTTTACAGAGATCTACACCTCCAGGGCTCAATAATCACACAGTCCATCACTGGCCAGACCCTTCTCATCTCACTGCCCCTCTTTTGGTCTCACGTACAACTTGTGGCATAGCCCCATTCATTACAACTTCTGTCACAACATCAAAAGACTGGCAGAGCGCTTGACACACTGTGAGGCCTATCTGACCTATTCCTTTCACTCACAGCCTGATTGAAGACAAGTGTGATGATCGTTTTTTAATGTATGTAAAATAATATTCCACTTAGATCAGTGATGGGCAAACTTGGCCCTTCCAGGCCACTTTCTCTGTATTGTTAAAAGCGCTATATAAATAAAGGTGACTTGACTTGACTTGACTTGATATGAATCACCTGCCTGTAGCCTTCTAGTAGTCTTGAAGACAATGATTAGCTGGTTCAGGTGTGTTTGATTAGGGTTGGAGCTAACCTCTGAAGGAAAGTGGCCTGGAAGGGCCAAGTTTGCCCACCCCTGACTTAGATACTAAAAGAATAATTGACCCAAAATGATTAATTCAAATGAGTCATTTATTATTTTTTTTTATCTTTCAAACATGTATATTTTTTGTTAGGGACATTTTATAAAGAATTGTAATCATTGAATATATAAAATATATTAGAAAATTGTGTTCCCAAAACAAAATAAAGAGTTGAAAAATGACAAGTGTGAGTGAATAAATTACAGAAATTTGACAGATACTATTGCATAAAATATTCAATGTTTTTTTAGCACTGTTCCAAATGTTTTGGTTGTTGTATTGTCAGTTTATGATCTTTCATGTTTGTTGTATTACATTTACGCATTTGAAAGACACTTTTATCCAAAGTGTTTCTTCGAGATATACGTCATCTGTCACAACTGCTACAGTGGAGGAACGAAGGAGCACGGAGACGAAGGAGTTGAAGGAAAACAGTCTTTAATAGTCCAAACTGGGGGAAAACACAGGGTAGCCAGGAGACACACACACGTAGCATCGGGATAAGACGTTTAACACAGCACGCTAGACACAGGAAACACTGGGCTTCAGTACACGACTAAACGAGGGGATGACAAGACACACCTGGACTCAATGAAACAATAGGAACAGGAAGGAAACCAAATATGGGCATGTCACATATGAGGGAAAACTAGGTCATGGAAGGCACATGGGGAGAAAAACACAACACAGACAGTCCATATTTCTGACATATTGCCCCCCTCCCGGAAGGCGCGTCCTTGTGCTGAAGAAACAACAGAAGGAGGGACAGTTGGGAACTTGGGAGGAGGCTCAGGACAAGGACGGACATCCGGGAGGGGGCCGGCAGACAGAGTCCAGGGAGGTGAAAACGGAGGGAGGAGCCAAGGAGGAAATAGGAGGCGCCAGGTGGGACCCCGGCCACAGCCATAATGGCATCCCACGGTGGAGCCAATGGAGGGAGGAGCCATGGAGGAGGAAGGGCTGACAACACCAGAGGGCCGACCAATGGCGGCAGAGCAGGTGGTGGAGGAGCCCGAGGCGGAGACGGAGAGCCGATGAGCCAGGGTGACGAGGAGGATCCGGAGGGCCGAGGTGGAACTGATGGCTCCAGTGACCGATGCGAAGGAGAGGATCCGGAAGGCCGTGGTGGAGCCGGAGCAACAGAGGACCAAGGTGGAGCCGAAGGGAAGGAGGAGCCTGACGGAGCTGGAGGGATGGAGGGACGAGGCGTAGCCGGAGGAGTGGAGTTCCAAGGTGAAGGATGGTCAACGACAGACCAAGGCGGAGCCGAAGAGGACGAGGGAGCCCAGTGGAGCCAATGGACTGATGGGCCATGGCGGAGAGGAGGGAGCTAGGAGCCATGGTGGAGCCGCTGGGTCGACGGGCCGAGGCGGAGTA